AGCCCCGCGCCCTGCCCGCTCCGCCTGGCCAGACCGCACCCCACCTCCCCCGGCGAGAGATGTGCAGTTCCGGGACGGCCGCGCGGCTGCTCCGCTCGTCCCCGAGGAGGTGTCCTCCGACCCCTGCGCTTGCGTCTCCGAACTTGTCTCTGAGCCGGGGCCCCAGCACCCCGCAAGCACTGGGCCCTCGGGGAAGGAGAGGCCGGGGTGGGGGGTAGTGGTGACGTGAGGCGTAGCTGACGGGACGGTTTGTCCAAGTCAGCCGAGGAGGGGCCAGAAGTTCCTATACAGGAGGGGTATTCAAGCTGAGTTTCGACTAAGCGGGAGTTGGGAGGTGCTGAGGGGCAGGAGGCCGTTCATTCCTACAGAGGTAACAGAAGGTTTAAGACGTACGTGTTTGAGACAGTCTGACTTTCGGGAAAATGTGTCGCTTAGAGATGAGGATGGCAGGAAGCTCAAGAGAACTGGGAGCGAGGATGTGATGCTCAGACCTGGGTGTTAGAAGAGTCAGTCTGGCAGGTGTAGGGACGTCTTTTGGCTTGAGCATCTGCGTAGATAAGTCAGGGTGAGAAACACGGATGGGAGGCAGGTCTGCAGCATCTATTCCTCACCACTCACCTCCCACGTGTCCTGCTATTTAGTCTACAGCTGTGTTCTGTGGTTCTTCCGTGTCCAGTGTCGTCCTTTTGTTTTGTCCTCTGTCTTTCCTGAACCGTGGCTTTCCATGTACATGTGCTCTTTGGCCTGCCCAGGTTTGGACCTTGCTGTTTGGAGCTCTGCACCACCACAGCCCTCACACATTCTCTCTGTGTTGATTACCCCATCACCCCATCTCTGCCCTGAGCTCTGCCATGGTGGTTCCCCCCACGGTGCCATTCCTCCATCTGCATAACTCCAGTTGTGCACTGCTTACTGGTTGTGTTCATAGAAAACAGTGGAAACGCCTTGGCTGCGTTGGGTCCCGACTGCTCATCTCCACACATACCATTTCTTGACCACCTTACCTCCCAGCTTGTTTGTGTAGTTTCTAACCACTTAACCTGCCACTTCTGGCCCACAGTTTTCTCATCCGAACTGAGAAGACTGCAGTAGGTGACGTCTGAGGTCACTTACAGTTTTTACTATCTGGGTTCTGCCCCCTCCCTGAGCCTGCATCTGGGTGTCATTTATGGGGCAGGCTTACCGTACAGCTAGGGAAGTTCAGGCTTCAGGGTCCTCACTTCCACAGGTGCCTTCCCAGGCACTGGGAAGGACTTCAGTGCCCTTACGTTTATTATTTTGTATTTTTTTTAAAGAGGGATTTTGAATTATTTAAGTTTCAAGCCCTGTGCTACTTGGATCCTATGAAATTGGCAGTTAGTCATATCCTGCTGTCTTGGTTTCTGGGTTCTTGTCCTTCAGCCTTTCCCCTTACCACCTCTGGCTCCTTCTCCTTGTTTGTACTTGTTATTGAGGGTTGAAGAGAAGACATGAGTGAATGGAGCTGGTCAGATTCCTGCTGTAACCTGGCTTTAGTTTTCTCTTGAGTCAGGAAGAGAGTCAGAGATTGGCAGCCCAGCCCAGTGGGCAGAGCCTTGCGACAGTGTGTGTTTGATTTGTTCACCACTGGGCATCTGCCTCCTTCAAGAAGAGGTGGGTAGTAAGGAAAGAAGGGAAGTCCACTTAACTGAGATCATAAAAGCAAGTCTTGTCTCCATGGAAACTAGGGTCACGGAAATCCATTCAGAGGAATTAATTTCACCCTTATTAGCTTGCAAGTCAGGCATCCTTTACACTATCAGTTATTTTCTTAGAGCTTTGTAACAGGTGTAAAAAACTTTTCATTTTCATTTGCTTTTAGAAGCAAATTCCTGTTTCTTTGTATGGTGTTCTGTGGGAAGAATCTTCAGAGAGATAAAACATGTTATCTAATGTTGAAATTAATTATGTAAGTATAGTAAGATATTTCTTAAGGATTTTATAGTAGTAGTTTAGAATTCACCAAATTGACAGGGAAATCATTTTATTTTTACAAATAAGGAAATCAGTGATGTGCAAAGAGAGTAAATGGTTTGTCTTCAGACAGTAAATCAAGGTCATTGTTAGTCAGAAAACCCCAGCTCCTAAGCACCTTTTTCCTTAAAAACAAGTATGACTCAAGTAAGGAGGAATCCATTTAAGAGAACTCCTACTGTAGAACACTTACTGTAACTTGGACCAAAGCTGTCCTTCCACATACCTGTCCAGCTGCACACCTGTGTGCATGCTGTAACCTGAAAGAACACACCAGAGGTGGGTGAGGTTCCCCTCAGTACTTTAGCTAAAGAGTTAACTCAGTACAGGTTCATGTACGTTATTGTGAGTCATATAAAACGGTTGCCAACCAGGACAACAGGACAGTGACTGAACAGCAGAGTTTTGTGGATAGTTTAGTTTTGGGTTTTTGCCCATTAAGCACCAGAATCTCCCATTTAAGACAGAAATCTTTCTAAAATAGAGCACTTCCCTGCTCTCTTAATAGAATGTGCTAGATATGATACACTTTCCCTCACTGTCTCAAGTAAGCATTTTAAACGTAGTTTGTTGTGTTGAGATGCAGACAGTGTCAGGGCTCGTTGAGGCATGTACAGCTGTTTCCCCCGTTATGGCCTCAGTTCTCCTGTCCCTTTGCTTCCCCCAGTCACCTGTCTCAGGTCTCACCCCCACCCCTGTCTGTCTGCCCACGCCTGCCTCAAGTGACTTCTTACTTTTCTTTACTGTGGACTTAGGAGCTAAATGTAGAACTATGTAGAAGAAGAATTTACAGATGATAAATTAGAGCCTAAGAAGTCTCTTGTGAATAGAATTTTTCAGCTTTAACTCATGAATTTTAAAATTTATATTGGAGTCTTGTTC